TGGAGCCATCTATGTTTGTAAACAATCAAACAAGTAAACTCACAGTGGGCCCGTCACGTATACGTGACGCCCGGCGCAAATGGGTTAATTTCTCTTTTGCAGTTTTCCTCATACATCCCTTCCATTTGATCTGATTGCCCTTTACCTTTTACTCTTTCTCCTTTTACAATTCCCCACCTTATTCCATTTGCTCTCCTTCTATTCCCTTTTCACTACCATTCTATCCTACAGTGTTCTACATCTAACATCTTATCCTAATTGTTAACTCATTTTCACCCATTTCACCACAATAATTTACCATAGTGCTCTGACATTTGATGTCTAGCACATTTATTTCTTCTAATCATTAACCATTGCAAAAGGGAGGCATGGATTCCTATCACTGCACATGAGTGCTCATGTGCACCCAGTTACAAGCCACACTCTCATGAGTGGATGCTCAAGTAAGCTTAATGCCTATATTTTGGGTGACATGCAGGGAGTGAAGCATCCAGATCCAAGGGGTTAATAAGAGATTCACATAAACCTTCGATCCTCAAATAATCATAATAAATATAATTACATCAATTGCTGATCAATTACCTTTATTCATCACTGGTAAAACAGCCAAAAAAGCAATTACGACAGAACAAATTATCAGAACTAAACAAAAATTAGGCATTATCACGTGATAATTTCAGTACAATGACATAAAACGACAGCTCACCATCTGAGTCATCTGCAAGGATAGAGTGAGGTAGATCACCCTCCATGCTAAACCTTTCTTCCTCCTCCTTCTCTACCTGGTCTTCCACTGGTTCCTTGGGTGAAAGGAAAGGGAATATAACACTAGAAAGTAATTAGGTCCACTCCAAAAAGAAAAATGGTATAATAGGGGGTTCAAATGTAATCCCCACTAAGGGTTGTATTATAATGCAGGTAAGTCTTTAACCCTCTTGCAAATGGTAAGTTTCCAATAAGCTTCCTTGTGGTTTACTTATCCCTTTCTCTAACCTACCTAGCTGCTGAGTGAAAATTGGCAGCTGGAGTCAATCATATTCAAAAGAAGTCACTAATTGACATATTTTGAGGGTGACACATTCCCTATTATTGTTTAAAATTGTGCAACTTGGACATTATTGGCATATAATAAAATACACAACCATGACATCAATTTTCTTCTCCATTTACTTATTTCTCAATATTCATTAGTTAAAAGTGAAACAGCCTTGACCAATGGAAACCACAATAGAACAAAATTTTAACAAAATACCAACCTATTTGCAAAAACAAAAACAAAAATTATCTATAGCACTCACTTCTTCATACTCCTCTGTACAAACCTCCTCTGTCTTGCACACAACAGGAATGGAGTTCAAGTCATCTGTGACATTTAGTGAAATGGATTCCACTGCAACCGCCTCCTCCTCTTCTTTGTAATTCACACCTTCCTGAAAATTAAAAAGCCAATTAAAAAGCCTGGAGTGAGTAGCTTTACTAGTCGAGATGAGACTTTTTACATCTAGCATCTACTCCATGACATTCGTCCTTAACTCACGTGTGGCAAAAACAAAGCACAACAATGCAGTTCAGGAAAACTAATTAAATTAGGGTATATCACACTGCTGTAGCAGAAACATTGAGAATAAATCATAAACAGATAATTCCAAGAGAGAGCCATGATCAAAGACAATCCAATTTCACATATCAATCAGTTTCCTGGAATGAATTATAAAGAAGATAATGCAAAGAAAAAGCTGTGGTCAAGGGCACTTCAATTTCATATAAGAGGAATTAATTTTTTCCCCATCTAACTGTAAATGCTTATAGCATTTGCTTCCTTCAACTGATATAGGTGCATCCAAGAGAAATGTTTCACAAATATATGTCAACTTCAAGCTTATTATATAACTACTTCAACAGCTTAACACAACAATTCTTCAGCTTATTTGTGCAATTGTGCAAATCACCTATAATCTTAAACTTTTACTGTATGCAATTTTGTTACTTCAAGTTTGACGACTGATTTCACATATCAGAAAATCTGTTTCTCTTGGGGCAGATGGTGGTATAGAGATGGGGCGAGAGCTCCCTCTGGTCTTTATGCTTAGAGATCTCAAGCAGTACACTATTTCCATCCCATTCACACCAAAGGAGTGGCAGAAAAACAACTGCCATGTTTCATTGCTGATAATCTATTGATGCAACTAAATAATCAATTATGGCCATATTCATAGTCAGTGTGTTGCAGTACAGATAGTGTCAAACCTGACTCAGAATGTCAAGCATCATTTACAATAGTTGTTGAGGAAAGTTCGGGGTTACCAACATGACTTGTGACAACTCCCCTGCCTGGATATTTCTATTCATCTAGCCTTAATCTAATTGAATAATACCAATTTACTCTTTTGGAAAAGCTGGATAGATGTTGAAATTTTGCCACCAGTGGTTGGTAACATAAACTTAAAATTGCCATGAAGGAATACATGGCACAGTCCTACATACACACTTATATTTTCCAATGGTGACGGGTGAAGAACATTAAAAAAAAAACTACGCTCTGGCGATCAATGGCAGCGTGCCGACTTTGTCCGCGGTAGTTCAGTACATCAGGCTGAATTACCAGCTCGCCGCGCTTTGGCACGCCACCACAGTGTATAGACGCACTTCACATTTCGAGCGGTTTGTTTTCACGCCTATAGGCGTCACCCGTTGTGAAGGGGATATGGAAATATATAAGAAAAACATTTTTCATGAATATATATGAGTTGGGATGAGTCATTAACATATGTCAGTTATTGTAATTTCTGAAATCAGACCTCCCAAAACCTTTCAGAATATTGTGTTGTGAAAGATAGTATGGAAAGATAGTCAGGAGTTTTATGAATAACAGGTTCTTATTGACATTGCCCTGCAACATACCAAACCACACAGAAGGCTTCACATGCAATAAGTTGCTCCATGTAACTCTCTATCCCCTTGGTTGCAGCATACACAATTTTTTAAGGAAATGAGACTGAAAAGGGACTTTAAGCGTATATCTGAGGGTCTATGTCTCTCCAATGACTGCAATCAGAGCCAAACAAGTAAACCACTGTTTAGTACACACAATTTAAAGTAACGGCATGTGGCATGGTTACCTGCCACTTAGGATTTTTGCCTGACTTGCCTTGACATGATGAGATGTCACTAGTGTGATTGGGTCCCAGGATAAGTGGGGTAAGGAAATATATACTAGAGTGATTTCTATGCTATTAAGAAATGTGAAAAATGTTCACCTGAAGTAGCCGGATGATCTGCTGATGTCCTCTTTCTACTGCAATATGGAGAGGAGGCTTAGCAAATCTGAAAAAGGGCAAAAAAAAAAAAAATAATAAACAAATCAATATCAAATCAACAATTCCTTATGATGGAACCACAAAATTGCTGTCACTTTTTCTAATTTCTGAAAATATGAAATGAATTAAGTCACATATTTTCAATTTTGCTTTTTCAGACACTTTAAGCATATCTATACACAAAGAGAAAAATATGACATATAATACTGAATACTACCTTGTAAACCCTACCCAGTCCTGTTAAATCTATACCAACCATATAAAAAAAGTCATAGTTGGTCTTAATACATATTCCATGACTTCTAATTCCGATGACCTTTGTCTGAGATGGGTACGAGTACCATAAAAACTACCACTTGGAGTCACTGAAGATACAAGATGCTAAATGATAACCATTTCCCTATTTTAAGTCAGTAGATATTTTCTATCAGTCCATCATGCAAATGTTTTGATTTATGATGTAGATAACTCCTCCAGAAATGCTTAGCACTTATAGGACATATTAAATGCACAAAATCATAATAGTTCTTAAACAGGAACACTGCCAAGAAATAAATAATATGAAATAAATAAATATATAAAATAAAAGAACCTTGAAACAGCACAAATAACGTTCAGTATTTGATGTCTGCTCTAAATTTCAATCAAATAGAGACGGGCTAACAGCAAAATCATTCAATGCACCACTTGTTTTCATCTGGTTCCACTGAAACAGTATGAATTTATGATTACAATGAGAATTCCCAATTATATGTTCTCTTTCTTCTCTGATTTTAAATATTACTGGACATGATAAGAACAAACTTACTTGTTTACCACATCAGTTTTGGCATGATGTTTCAGAAGTAAGCCAACAACTGAGGTGTGTCCTCTATCACAGGCCCAATGTAAAGCAGTCATCTTCAACTGTTAAAAATAATAAAATAATCATTAATCTCTATACAAAAAAGTCAAAGCTTATCAAAAATATAAAAAGTCTGGATAACAAAATATTCTACTTTGTTTATTCAAAGGTATAAAAAAGAAAAGAAAAGAGCTAATGTTCTTTTTTTACTAATGAAATAAAATCTAAAAAACAAGAATTCTTACTCAACACATAAAAATTAGTACAAATCACTGGACTACATCTCTCCTCTCTCTCTCTCTCACTCATACTCTCTCTCTCTCATACTTTCTGTCTCTCATACTCTTTCTTTCTCTCTCTCTCTCACTCATACTCTCCCTCTCTCTCTCTCATACGTTCTCTCTCTCTGTCTCTCATACTCTCTCTCTCTCTCATACTCACTTTCTCTCTCTCTCTCATACTCTCTCGTTCTCTCATACTCTCTCTCATACTCACTCTCTCTCTCTCTCATACTCTCTCTCTCTCTCTCATACTCTCTCTCTCTTTCATACTCTCTTTCTCTCTCTCATACTCTCTCTTTCTCTATCTCTCTCATACTCACTCTCTCTCTCTCTCTCTCATACTCTCACTCTCTCTCATACTCTCACTCTCATTCTCATACTCTCACTCTCTCTCTCTCTCATACTCTCACTCTCTCTCATACTCTCACTCTCATTCTCATACTCTCACTCTCTCTCTCTCTCTCTCTCACACACACACTCTCTCACACTCACTATCTCTCTCTCTCTCTTACTCTCTCTCATACTCATTCTCTCTCTCTCTCTCACTCATACTCTCTTTCTCTCTCTCATACTTTTTCTCTCTCTCTCTCTTTCATACTCTCTCTCTCTCCCATACTCTCTTTCTCTATCTCTCTCATACTCTCTCTCACTCATACTCTCTCTCTCTCATACTCTTTCTCTCATACTCTCTCTCTTATACTCTCTCTCATACCCTCTCTCTCTCTCTCTCTCATCCTCTCTCTCTCTCTCATACTCACTCTCTCTCTCTCATATTCACTCTCTCTCTCTCTCATACTCATACTCACTCTCTCTCTCTCTCTCTCATACTTTCTCTCTCTCATACTGACTCTCTCTCTCATAATCACTCTCTCTCTCTCATACTCACTCTATCTCTCTCTCTCACTCATACTCTCTCTCTCTCTCATACTCTCATACTCTCTCACTCGCTCATACTTTCTCTCTCTCTCTCTCACTCGCTCATACTTTCTCTCTCTCTCTCTCACTCGCTCATACTTTCTCTCTCTCTCTCTCTCTCTCTTTCATACTCTCTATCTCTCATACTCTCTCCCTCTCCCATACTCTCTCTTTCTCTATCTCTCTCATACTCTCTCTCTCACTCATACTCTCTCTTTCTCTCATACTCTCTCTCTCATACTCACTCTCTCACTCTTTCTCTCTGTAATAATCTCTCTCTCTCACTCATACTCTCTCTCTCATACTCACTCTCTCTCTTTCTCTCTCTCTCTCATACTTTCTCTCTCTCTCATACTCTCTATCTCTCTCTCTCTTCATACTCTATCTCTCTCATACTCACTCTCTCTCTCTCATACTCTCTCTTTCTCTCATACTCTCTCTCTCATACTCACTCTCTCTCTTTCATACTCTCTCTTTCTCTCTGTAATAATCTCTCTCTCTCATAATCTCTCTCTCTCTCGCATACTCTCACTCACTCACTCTTTCTGTCTCTCTCTCATACTTTCTCTCTCTCTCATACTCTCTATCTCTCTCTCTCTTTCATACTCTATCTCTCTCATACTCACTCTCTCTCTCACTCATACTCTCTCTTTCTCTCATACTCACTCTCTCTCTCTTTCATACTCTCTCTTTCTCTCTGTAATAATCTCTCTCTCTCTCTCATAATCTCTCTCTCTCTCTCTCATACATTCTCTCTCTCTCTCTCGCATACTCACTCACTTCACTCTCTTTCTGTCTCTCTCTTATACTCTCTCTTTCTCTCATACTCACTCTCTCTCTTTCATACTCTCTTTCTCTCTGTAATAATCTCTCTCTCTCTCGCATACTCTCACTCACTCACTCTCTTTCTGTCTCTCTCTCATACTCTCTCTTTCTCTCTCTCATACACTCTCTCTCTCTCGCTCTCTCATGATCTCTCTCTCGCTCTCTCATGATCTCTCTCTCTCTCATACTCTCTCTCTCATACCCCCCCTCTCTCTCTCTTTCTCATACCTTCTCTCTCTCTCTCTCTCTCTCTCATACCCCCTCTCTCTCTCTCTCTCATACCCTCTCTCTCTCTCTCTCTCTCATACTCACTCTCTCTCTCTCATTGTCTCATACTCTCTCTCTCTCTCTCTCATATGCTCTCTCTCTCTCATACTCTCTCTCTCTCTCTTTCTCTCTCTCTCTCATACTCTCTATAGCTCTCTCATCCTCTCTCTCTCTCATACTCTCTCTCTCTCTCATTCTCTCTCTCATACTCTCTCTCTCTCTCTTATACTCTCTTTCTCTCTCTTATACTCTCCCTCTCTCTCATACTTTTCCTCTCTCTCTCTCATCCTCTCTCTCTCATACTGACTCTCTCTCTCTCTCTCTCATACTTTCTCTCTCTCATACTGACTCTCTCTCTCTCTCTCACTCATACTCTCTCTCTCTCTCTCTCTCATACTCTCTTCATACTCTCTCTCTCTCACTCATGCTCGCTCTCTCTCTCTCTCTCTCTCTCTCATTCTCTCTCTCTTATACTCTCTCTCATACCCTCTCTCTCTCTTTCTCATACCTTCTCTCTCTCTCTCTCTCTCCCATTCTCTCTCTCTCTCATACCCCCTCTCTCTCTTTCTCATACCTTCTCTCTCTCTCTCTCATACCCCCTCTCTCTCTCTCATACCCCCTCTCTCTCTCTCTCTCTCTCTCTCTCTCTCTCTCTCATAACCCTCTTCTCTCATACCCCCACTCCTCTCTCTCTCTCTCTCTCTCATACTCCTCTCTCTCTCTCTCATACTCACTCTCTCTCTCTCTCTCATACATCTCTCTCTCTCTCATACTCTCTCTCTCTCTTACTCTCTCCTCTCTCTCATACTCTCTCTAGCTCTCTCATACTCTCTCTCTCTCACACTCTCTCTCTCTCTCTTATACTCTCTTTCTCTCTCTTATACTCTCCCTCTCTCTCTCTCATACTTTTCCTCTCTCTCTCTCTCTCATACTCACTCTCTCTCTCTCATACTTTCTCTCTCTCATACTGACTCTCTCATAATCACTCTCTCTCTCTCTCATAATCACTCTCTCTCTCATACTCACTCTCTCTCTCTCATACTTTCTCTCTCATACTCACTCTCTCTCTCTCTCATACTCTCTCTCTCTCATACTCTCTCTCACTCGCTCATACTTTCTCTCTCTCTCTCTCTCTTTCATACTCTCTCTTTCTCTATCTCTCTCTCTCTCATACTCACTCTCTCTCTCACTCATACTCTCTCTTTCTCTCATACTCACTCTCTCTCTCTCTCATACTCTCTCTCTCTCTCATACTCTCTTTCTCTCTGTAATAATCTCTCTCTCTCTCTCTCTTTATACTCTCTCTCTCTCTCATACTCTCTCTCTCTCTCTCTCTCTCTCGCATACTCTCACTCACTCACTCTCTTTCTGTCTCTCTCTCTCATACTTTCTCTCTCTCTCTCATACTCTCTCTCTCTATCTCACTCATACTCTCTCTCTCTCACACACACTCTCTCACACTCTCTCTCTCTCTCTCATACCCCCCTCTCTCTCTCTCTCTCTCATACCCTCTTCTCTCTCTCTCTCTCTCTCTCGCATACTCTCACTCACTCATTCTCTTTGTCTCTCTCTCTCATACTTTCTCTCTCTCTCATACTCTGCTATCCTCTCTCTCTCTTCTCATACTCTATCTCTCTCTCATACTCTCTCTCTCTCTATCTCTCATACTCTCTCTCTCTCACACATACTCTCTCCATCTCTCTCTCATACCCTCTCTCTTCTTCTCTCTTCTCTCCATACTCTCTCTCTCTCTCTTCCTACTCTCTCTCCCTCCTACCCCCCCCCCTCTCTCTCTCTCATACCCTCTCTCTCTCCTCTCAAACCCCCCTCTCTCATACCTCTCTCTCTCTCTCTCTCTCTCTCTCTTCTACCTCTCTCTCTTTCATTACCTTGCCTCTCTCTCTCTATCTCTCATTCACCCTTTTCTCTCTCTCTCTCATACCCTTTCTCTCTCTTCATACCCTCTCTCTCTCTCTCTCTTCTCTCATACCCTCTCTCTCTCTCTCATACCCTCTCTCTCTCTCAAATACCCTCTCTCTCTCTCTCTACCATACTCTCTCTCAATCTCTCGCTCTCTTTCTCTTCTCTCTCATACACTCCTCTCTCCATACTCACTCTCTTTTCCTTTCATACTCACTCTCTCTGTCTCTCTCTCTCTCTCTCTCTCATACTCTCTCTCTCTATTATACTCTCTCTCTCCTCTCTCTCATACACTCTCTCTCTCTTCTCATACCTTCTCTATCTCTCTCTTCTCTCTCTTCTCTCTCTCTCTCTCTCCTCTCTCTCTCTCTCTATCTTATACCTCTCTCTCTATCATACCCTCTCTACTCCTCTCATACCCTCTTCTCTCTCTCTCTCATTACCTCTCTCTCTCTCTCTCTCATACCCCCTCGCTCTCTTCTCTCTCATAACCCTCTCTCTCTCTCTCTCTTCATACTCTCTCTCTCTCTCTCTCTCATACTCTCTCCTCTCTCTCATACTAACCTCTCCCCCTCATAGTCTCATACTCTCTCACTCTCTCATATTATTCTCTCTCTCTCATAATACACTATCTCTCTCTCTATCATACACTCTCTCTCTCTATCTTCTAATACTCTCTATCTCGCTCAGCTCGTCTATTATACTCTCTTTCTCTTCTCTAATCGTGGCCTATCTTTCTCTTATTAATCTCCCCCCCCACCCTCTCTCATCTCCTTTATTACATATCACTCGCTCTCTCATACTTTTCTATCTATCTAGCCATAATCTCTCTATATCTATAATACTCTCCCTCTATATCTCATAAGATCACGATACGCTGCTCACAGA